AGAATACGATAGGGGATATATTCACACGTTATAAAACTGAAAAAACTGTATAAAATTGATTTGACGACAAAGAATTAACTTGACGGAGCTCAAACTCAAACCACACGGCAGCAACAAACAGGAAGTTTGTTGTATAATTTATATTGTGTAATATAAATCTAAATTATTGTTCCTAAATGGTGTTAAATATTGACACTTTATCAGCCATGTTTTCTAGATATCAGTATCAGCCATTGAACAACCCATATTAGTAAACTACTATTTCTGTGTGACCTCGTTACATAACCTTTCGTCCTTCAACCCTCTTATACTGTAGGTTTGCTTTGGCTTTTGAATTTCCTGACAGTTCCACCAGATCAGTCTTTGTTTACTGTGAGTCAGTTCACTGCTCATGAATATGTTTGATGTCTCATGCCAGGCATGTACCACACTGTGACGTGCTTGCTGGTTTTTCAATGCCGCCGGCAACGCAATTCTCTCCTCTCCTGCTTTCTCCCCGATCCCTCCCTCTTCTCTCTCTCTGTCTTCCATCATGCTGTCTCTCTTTCCCTCCTTCTCTCTCCCCTCATCACACTCTCATGCACACACTCCGCCATACAGCTATCCTCCCACAAGGTCAACTCTGAGTTCTTGATCACCTCAACACGGGCAGGTCGCATCGCGAGCATGCATGCGTGTGCTTGCACTGGAACGGAGATGTTTTTTGTTTTTGATGGCATTAAGCTGCGACGGTTATGAAAAGAATGCCCGTGAGCCGTAGCTTTGCCGGTGGAATCCGATGCAGGCGTTTCCCTGTCGGAGAGAAGCTGTTTGGATGTGCTCATCCCATGCAGAAGCGGAGCAGCTATTGCGCTCTACCTGTGCAGTGACTCACTTCAGCTGATATCCTTCACCTACAGCAAGGATGTAATGACTCCTCTGTGGACAGATTATGCTCTGAGAGGGTCTCTTTTAGCTTTTTACCCCTTTCTTGTCCTCTGTTTCCTCCTGTTTCGGTCTTTCTTCTACCGGATCACCTCAGAGACCCGATACCACCATGTCCTTGGCGTTCTGTGGCAACGACAACAACTCGGCCGCGTACAACGTGGACACTGGTGTCCTCAACAACGGCTGCTTCCTGGACGCCCTCACGGTGGTGCCGCACGTCTTCCTGCTCTTCATCACTTTTCCTATCCTCTTCATCGGTGAGTTTCAGACAGGTGAAAACTAGTGCACGCTTGTGTCACAATACTAGGTGCTGGAGTGATTGAACACTCTTTGACTTTATTATATACTGTAAGCTTAAATAAGATAGATGGCGGAAAGAGAGACGGATAGATAGACAGACAGGCACATGGATATGAGCGGATAGACAGATGGGCAGATAGATAGAATGAGATGGGTGGATAGATAGATGGATAGAGACAAATGATTAATGAGCTCTTTGAAATTCATTTTTGAACATTTGGCACATTCAGTACGAATATAAACATTGTATAATTGATCTGCACTCAAGTAGTCATTTGCCACAGATGTGGTTTGGTGAACCACATGGAGAGACCAGGATAGAGTTTGTCAAGCCGCTGTGGGAAACATTTTTATTTTAGACAAACCAATGTGACCTTAGTGTTGGAATGTACAGCTGAAGCCATCATACTGTCAGAGAGTCGAGTTACAGGAAGGTCGCCGCTTGATTCGTCATACCAGAAGAGTCAGAGCAACGTTAAACAATCCCACTAATGCCAGAGTGAACTCACCTGCCACCTACTCCCATACTTTCTGTTATTCATTTTCCAAATGATTTGGAATTGCTACTGATTCATTAGGTTCTTTTTGTTTTTTTCTGTGGACAGATTTTTGATAAACGTTTTCCGTCCTGCTGAGAATGAATATTGAAATGTTTGAACTTTCCATTGATCAAATAATCTTTAAAAAATATATCATGGTTTTTACAAAAAAAATATTAAGCATCACGACTGTTTTCAACATTGATAATTGTAAGAAATATTTCTTCAGCAACAGCAATAAATATACAGTGACCAGCATTCTGTTTCTTTTTGCGAATTAAATTTATTTTATTTTTTTTTCAAAAATTTGTTTTCAGTTCTGTTGGAATCTCAACAGACTAAATAAAATTAGTTATTTTCAAAAAATGTCCATCTTATTCCCAATTCCCATCTCATATGGACATTTTATCCATTATATTCCACCAAAAAATGTCTGTCTCAAAATGTCTAAAAAAATTGGTTTTAATATGCAATACATGATGTTGTTTGTTTTGAATCAGTATCCTCATATCCCTAATATCGAGACAGGGGTGCCGCAGGTCGGAGTAATGGGCGTGGCATAAGGTGAATGATACAACAGAAACTTACCCCTAACCCTAACCAATTAGAAAGACCTTAATCCACGCCCCCTACCTTTCGGAACGCCCATTGCTCCAGCCTGCAGTTATCCCTACTTGCTAATATCCAGTTTTTCGGGATATCAAGGGCAAAATCTGTCCCAGGGTTATTGCAACAACCTGGAAAGGACATTGATTTTGAGACACTTTTTCCATTGAAACATTGTATATTTGCCAATATAATAAGTTACAATTGAAAGCTCCTACCAAATGTGTACATGTGATGTTTTTTTATTAGGGATGATGATATATGTACAAACAATTTAGTCCTCAAGGATACTGTACATCACTTCCTCTCAGAGAGAAATACTGTATGTTGGTGTAAGCTCTGTACAGATTTTGAATCATTGTTCTGTAGGTTGGGGGAGTCAGAGCTCCAAGGTGCACATCCATCATAGCACTTGGCTGCACTTCCCCGGACACAACCTCCGCTGGATCCTCACCTTCATCCTGCTCTTCATCATCGTCTGTGAAATAGCCGAGGGCATCGTGTCCGACGGGTGAGATTTATGTATCGATTTATCTGTCTGTCTGTGTGAATCTGTTTGTTTGTTTGTTTGGAACTGGAAATGTTGATCCATGTCTAATATTGTTTCTCTCGCTCTCTCTCTTTCTCAGGTTTAATCAGTCGGTCCACTTGCACCTCTATATGCCATCATGTTTGGCCTTCATGGCTGCCATTACATCAATCGTCTTCTACCACAACATAGAGACCTCCAACTTCCCCAAACTACTGATGAGTGCGTGTCAGCCTTATAGTGTTTTTTGCTTATTAAGGACTGAGTTTTCTGTTATTTGGATGTGATATGCACATTTAATTCATAATGCAAATCACTTTTTAAACAGTGATGTAAAGCATCATTAACTGTAGTATGCATCTTTTGAAAGAATTGCTCTAGCTACATTCGCACAGATCCCATATTTCTAAAAAACGACTGTATTGCAGTGCTACAGACTAATGGCCCTTGATGGGGCAATGCTATTACCCAACTACAGTTTCATTTCCAGAATAAAATTGTTTGTTATAATGACTTCAAATCATCTGAACATTGTCTAGACTAGAGATTGAAGTCACAGTCCTGTAATGACATTCCTCGGCGGCAATATTTTTGAGGACGGAAGGATGTTTTAAAGATATTCTAACCATAATTATCCTCCTATCTCTGAACATCTGGAGTGAGAAGCCATTTCAAAGTTTCGCCTGCTGTGCAAAACCAGCAGAGACTGATGCCTTCAGTGCGAATGTGTGGAGAGGATGTGATGTCATATATCATTATTTTTCTTTCACAGCTTTGCTCATTTACTGGGTTCTGGCGTTTGTCTCTAAAACAATCAAGTTTTTCAAGTACACGGAGCACGGCATCGGCCTGAGACAGCTGCGCTTTGGGATCACAGGCTTACTGATGCTGCTATACGGCCTGCTGTTGGCCGTAGAGATCAATGTCATCCTGAGGAGGGTAAATGATTGTGTGTCTGTGATTTGTATTCCTGACCACTGATTCTCAATTCTCCATTTTGATTTCTCTTATTCTTTAGCCTCTGGCTTTGATTTTCTTGCTATATACTGCAGTCTCAGATCATACAAAAGTCTGATCACGTTTGCTTACAGACTGCAGGGGATTTGTGTTTTATCTGTCGGAATACAGACTACTTTCTCTCCCTCATCGCTCCAAATCCTTATAACTTTTTTCCTCTGTGAAACAAAAAAAGGAGATATTTAGTAGAGTGTCCAAGCTGCTCTTTTCCATGCAATGAAAGCAAATGGAAATGGGTACTGCTGAGCTCCAAAAATGACTAAAAGCACCAAAAATGTGGTCACTGCAACTTGTGAACTATTTCTGAAGCCATTAGACTGAGGTTGTATGGACGTAAATATGACTAGTTTAATTTATAGCAGTTCATCTCGTAATAACTACAGTGTTATGGTGCAGAGAGCTGTGTTATGATTTTATGAATTGACGTAATATGGTTTACGTGTTCCACCAGAGGATGTTTGTGTGCAATATCTCTGTAATAATTTATTAATTTTGAACTATCACAGGCCAGTTATTAAAATGAAAAAGAGAGATTAATTAAAACTCTGCTCTTGAATTCATTACACTGTTTGCATATGCATGTGTGAAGCATATCAGCTGGTTTTATGATTTAAACGTCTGTGTTTTCTTAAAGATACAGATTTTTTTTAATTCATTCTCTGTATGCGTTTCAAAATCTGTATATATTTTCAGTTTTCATTATAGTATGAATAATGATAATGATAATAATAATATATTATTAATCATATATAAAAATTGTGTTCCCTTTCAGTCGGTCACTCTCGACGTCACGTCGGAGGACCGACGAAATTGGGATCTGTTGTTATGCGCAAAATTCAATAATGAAGTCAAAAGTACTGTATTATGCACTTTTATTTTAAAAGTACTGCTGTATGAACAAAAGTGAAATAACATTATTGCATCCAGCTGCTGCTGATCACAGCGTGAGTATAAGTAGGCAGCAGGTGCAGCGCATATTCAGCTTTTCGCTTCGGAGCCGAGCGATCACATCGTTCCGCTCCTGACTACTCTACGGAGAGAAGACTGAACGAGTTCAGCACGCTCTTGGAGAGCTCTTCGTGTTGGCGGACGGCGCTTCAGCGGTGGTGGTTTCCCGTGTCGAGTGGGTTGCACACATCAGGCTGCACTACCCCCTGATTGTGTTGCAAATGATCATCTCCCCTGTGCGCCTCAGCACGCTAAAAGAGCTTTTTCCCCTAAAAGAGCAATTTCGGGTGCGTCTTT